AGAGAATCATTGATTGGTTGCCCTCTGCAGGCCCCCTGCTGGGAAACATGCCCTCAAACTAGGCATGTGCGCTGACCTCCTGATTCATATGTCGACCCTCAACCACTGAGCAACACCGGTTGGGCAATTTATTTATTTTTAGTTTTATATTTAATCTATTGGGGTGATATTGGTTAATAAAGTTATGTAGGTTTCAGGTGTACAGTTCTATAACACATCAACTGTATATTGTGTGTTCACCACCCCAAATGGTACTGTATCTAGTTTTAAGGTACTTGTCCCTCAGAGACCAATGACAGTGAACTGTCACTATAGGATGTACTTCCAGGTAGTGCAGTCCATTCCCTGGACCCCTGACTAAAATGTCCTAAATATTCTGACAAACGCCATCAGGTTTTGTTCAGCTATAAATGTTCATATACTGAAAGGAAGGCTTCGTGTGTAAACCACGGAATCTTCAAATGTACTCATTTTCTTTTGAAATGTCTTTTCTGTTTAAAAATGCGTTGTGGTTATGGTGGTATTTTAAGTCTCTGTTTTCTGCAGTGGTGCTTTACACGGGTAAACACTGTATTTTGTAAAGCAGACATTTCACGGGGAGATTCTTCTATGGCACTGCCTTAGAACACGGATACTTCCCCTAAGACTCGCCATTCAGAGATCGGCCTCTGCAGCCAAACTGAAGAGGGAGGCAGCCATGGAAACTTCTGGTCCCTGGGCGCTGCCCTGAGTCACAAGCAGTTGTGAAGTTTGTGGACTCTGTGGCCCTGAGCCCTGCGAGAGACAGGCTGACCTCATCACAGCATCGCCTAGGGCCCTGCCCACCAGCACCTGGTGTGCTCAGGAGGTTAAGGCCTCGTGTAGGTCACAGCGCACCTCCGAAGCTGACCGGCCGGTCGGCACCTCAGTCTGCCCTGTGTGTGATCCACACACCACCCTGACACCTTTCCCTGGCGCACGGCGGCATCCAGCCACTTCCGTTTCTTCATGGCTTTTACATGTCATCCCACGGATCCACCCAAAGAGGCTCGGTGCTGGGGCTCTTCCCCACCTGCTCTGTCTTCCTCCACCTGATGGAATTTCCAGCTTCTTGGTCTCTTCCATTGCCCTGTAGCCAGAGGGAGAGACAGATTGACAGTTGCCTCTAATTAGATTCATGCTCTCATCTTTAAACTATATGTTATATGTACATTAGAGGCCTAGTGCACCACATTCATGCATAGGGGGTGGGGGGAGTCCCCTCAGCCCGGCCTGCACCCTCTCACAGTCCAGGAGCCCTTGGGGGATGTCCGACTGCTAGCTTAAGCCCGCAGTTGGACATCCTTAGCACAGCTGCGGAGGCGGGAGAGGCTCCTGCCACTGCTGCTGCGCTCACCAGCCGTCTTCTGACTGAGCAGTGCTCCCCCTGTGGGAGCACACTGACCACCAGGGGACAGCTCCTGCATTGAGCATCTGCCCCATGGTGGTCAGTGTGCGTCATAGTGACTGGTCATTCACTGTTTGGTCGATTTGCATATTACCCTTTTATTATATAGGACTAGTGACCCAGCATGAAATCGCACAAGACCCGGGACCCCGCCTGTGCCGCGGGACTGCCCCCAGTCCTGCCCCGTGGGGCTGGCACGCTGTGCAATGGTCCCGAGTCCCACTCTGCGGCCTGCACCGCGGGATTCCCCCGATTCACCTCCTGGTCAAGTCCCCACTGGTGCCCGCGTGTGCCTGCCGTGCACGCAACCTCCTGCTGATTGGTTGTTACCACGTGAGGTGTGACGACCACAGGCTTTTTATATATATAGATTATTCCAGTTGTCAGGTAACTTGCCTGAATTTAGTCACCCAAAATCAGTTGCTAGGGCTGAGCTTTGCTCCATTATTGAGCTAAAATTCAGTATAATTATATTTAATAATGCATTTTTGGAATTGAGCAAACATTTAGAGTTTTTAGAGATCTTTTCATTCAACTCCTTATTTCAAAATAGAGGAAACAGGCATTTTTTTTTCACTTACTCCCTCTTAGGCTACATAGTTAGATATCTATATTTGAATGATATATATCTAATGCTCTATGTCAAAAAACTTTTGTTTTACCCATAAAAACATGTTTTAGTAACTCCTTTGAAATCTAGAACATTCCTGGAAAAATAGACTGATTAAAAATTTTCCATTTTTCACTTTAACTTTCAAAGCATGTTTGAATTTAATATATTTTTGGAGCAAATAAAAATGTTTATCAAAATCTTAGTAGAATGTTTACCTATATTTCTTTTATTGTTTGCAATAGTGCCTTGACAACCCTATCTGAAATGTCAGGCTCTTAAAAAGGAAATAAAACTTGCAGTTTGGGTCATGTTTCCCTCTGCCCTGCTCTGCGGTATGTGGAAAAGGAAACGGAATGGTATTTCATCAGAAACTGGTCTGGTTTAACCTTCTGCATTTCTGTGTTTTCCCAGATATGTTCTTTCTTCAGGGATCAGAGGTCATATTTAAAGTGGCTCTAAGTCTGTTGGGGAGCCATAAGCCCTTGATTCTGCAGCATGAAAACCTAGAGACCATAGTCGACTTTATAAAAAACACACTACCCAACCTGGGCTTGGTGCAAATGGAAAAGACCATCAGTCAGGTATGATTCAGTCCTAACCTTTCCAAAGGGTCAATCCTGGATATGTAGAAGCTTATTTATTATTATTATTATTATTATTATTATTATTATTGAGCAGGACCTATTTCCTTCCAGTTTGTACTCTGGGCAGCATATTGTGTGATGCCTGGTGTGTAGGAGTCACATCGCAAATTTGTGTCCAGTGAGTAAATGTGAGTTTGCGTGTGCGTGTGCGTGTGTTGTGAGTCCAATGCTGACACACCATGTGGCAACACCATGGCAATGGTTAGGTGTGGCGACCAGCACAAATTATCAGTAGTTTCTTATAATTAAGAAACTTCGCCCCTAGTCATGTGTTCTTCTAAAATTCATACATCTATTCAGTGTAGGCTGTTGTAAAATAAGTGTTTTCATTTTTCTGCTGAAATATTATTTTATAAAAATAACTTTTCATAGCAAAGTTGTGATAGAGCATATACATTTTATATGTTTATTCCACAATATTTGTGTGTGTGCGTGCGCGCGAGCACGTGTGCGTGCTCGCACTTTAATAGAATTCTCCTCCACACCTGTGGTCACAGCACCTCTGGCTTCTGGGTGCAGTAGAACCATTGCTGTCTGGAATGTAGAAGGTGAGGGGTGAATGTAGCCAGGAATTACAACTGGACCAGTTATCCCATGGTCTGGATTAGGGGTGGGAGCGGATTTGGACTCTGCTTAAGGAAGAATCTTCTAGTAGTGACTGCTGACTGCAAAGGGCTGAGCTGCTTAGCAGAGGGCGGGGTCGCCCTGGGAGGTGCCCGAAGCGGGCTGGCTGAGAAGCTCTGAGGAGAGGTCTGTGTGGAGCACTGTGGGGTCAGCCTCAGGCCTCTCGTCAGCCTAGAACTTACCTCATCTGCTCCAAATACAATGAAAACATAGAACAATTCCGAAAAAACAAATAGTGAAATAAAGCTTTTAAAGAATCCTTATTCTGAGGACTTCTGTTAGTCCAAGAGGAGCAGCACTGCCGGTCTAGTGCCCCCAGACGCGGAGCTGTGATGTCCTTGGCTGCCCCTCCTTAGGTGTTGGGCACAGAGAAAGGAGCAAGAAGGCCTGGAGGGGGAGGGTGCCATGCTAGGCGCCACTTTGCATCTCTGCACAGGCCTGTGTGAGGGAGCAGCTCTCCACTCATTGATAGGCTCCGCCTCTAACTCTGGCTTGTGGAGGCCCTACTTTTACCAGGTTCCGTGTGAGTCTATAAATACCCATGATTTCATTTCATCATGACTGCACTCCCGAGAGGAGAGATGGCTTTAACCCATGAGGAGCCTGGGGCTCAAAGTGGATAATGGACTGGCCCTCAGTCACCCGGGCGGGTCTCACACTCAGATCCTCTGGCCTCACAGGCTCTAAGCAGCCACCCAACACCCGCCAGGGCCTCTGGTTGTCATTTCACTACAGAGTTTCTCTGTATTTTACCTGTATGTTAATACCAAAATCTCCACCCTTTGATGCTGTTAATTCCTGGCATTTATGTGCATTTATTCCTTCTCAGAGCTTTTGTTGCATATATTTTCATTCCCCTGGTATTTATGCTGCTGGGGAAATGCAGAGAGCCTTGGTCACTGAACCCAAAGTCTGGCCCAGTGAGTGCCTTGACCTTGCTCCTGACTCTAAGGCCAGCAGCCTCAGCTGACATTGTTTACCTCCTGGATATTGAGCTCCAGGAAAAATCCCATTGTCCTCCCTTTTCTGTAAAAGGCACCTATTGAGATTATTGGGTGCCCCTTAAGTGTTCGGAGGATGGATGTGTTCACAGCACAAGGAGAGAACAGTTTTATGTGTGTCGCTGGTTTTCTTCAGGCGGCTGCTTTGAAATTGGCATTTGTTAGACCACTGACTCCTTGACAGTGTTGGAATGGGGACTATAACCCCTGTTTTAAAGCTGGGGAGACCGGATGTGGAGAGAGTAACATGCCCCCACCCCGTGTAACGTGGCAGAGCCGGAAATATAACGTGTCTCTTGGACACCAAAGCCCAGCCGGTGCAGAAAATAAGCACGTAACCCAGTAATTACAAGTGTGGTGCGAGCTACCGCGGTGCTTGGGCAAGGCTCACGGGAGCCCGTCTGGTGGAGGGTGTGAACGCGCATGGTTGAGACTTGAAGGCATACAGTTCAGCTGAGCCTCAAAGAATTCGCCGAAGCCGTGGCCGGGTAGCTCAGTTGGTCAGGGCATCACCCTGCTTCACCAAGGTTGTGGGTGCTAATAAAAATGTGCAGACCTACACATAGAGGAATCAACCAAGGCATGCATAAATATGTGGGACAACAAATCTCTCTCCCCCAACCCTCTCAAATCAATAAATAAGTTAGAAAAAAGAAAAAGAAAAAAGAATGAGCCGAGACCGGTGAGCACACGGCTTCTGTAGAGGGCCAGGTAGTGAGGGTGTGGGCTTTGTAGGCCATAAGGTCTCCGCTGCAGCCACTCAGCTCTGCCTTTGCAGAGCGAAAGCAGCCACGGACGGTGTGTATAAGAAGAGGTAACCGTGCTGCAGTGAAACTTTATTTACAGAAACATGCGGTGGGACAGATTCAGTCTGCAGGTTGTCGTTGCTGGTCCCTGGTCACAGCATATGCAAAGGCATGGGAGTGAGAGACTAGGGAGAGATTCCAGATGCCTAGCAGTTCAGCGTGTGTGCGTGTGCGTGTACATGTGCATGTGTGCGTGTGTGTGTGTGTGTGTGGCATATGAGCAGGCAAAAAGGCATATAAAATAATGCACTTCTAATTGTGTGTGTGTGTGTGTGTGTGTGTGTGAGAGAGAGAGGGGGGGGGCGGGGGGAGGAGAGAGAGAGATGGTTAGGGCCTGAGGAGTCCTGGCCTCCAGAGGGGGCTGTAGTCTCGAGTCCTGCTCAGAAATTAGGCCGAGGTGCAGCATGCTTCCTCTGCAGGCTCACAGAACCCCAGGTTTGACCTTGGAGGAATCAGGTTGGACGTGGTAAGTGCATCAATTGCACACAGTTGTCCTGTATGCATGGGCAGGTCTGGCGTCTATGTGATCGCCATTGGCTCTGTTTCACTAAATGCCCTCTCCATGGGTGGCCTTGGCTCCAGAGGCTTGGACACAGCCTGCGTACAGGATGAGAGAGAGCAGCGAGGACACCGGCCCAGTCCGTGCAGATGGGCTGGGAGCAGCCACAGAGGGGCAGGTCCAGAGCCGAGAGCCCCGGGCAGGAGGACAGGGCCTCTGCAGGCTCTGTGGAGTCCTTGGTGTGACTTAAAAATCCCGACCCAAGAAAAGGGGAAACCCTGGGGGTAAACAGAAACTAAGAGGAGGTCCAGTTTGCATTCCTGTCACAGTGAGTGCATCGGCCTCTGCAACCCCAGTTCAGTGTAAGGAAGGAAAACAGAGTTGGGGTGGGGGTATATTTTCAGCTTCCTTTGGGCTCCATTTAAAGCTGACCCTAGCCTGTCAGTGTATCAGATAGGAGCTGTCAGTGTATCAGGTGAGAAATGCAGCATCTGGGGCCTCACGAGAGACCTGCTGAGTCCAAATCTGCATTTTAGCGAGATCCCAGGGGATTCGCACCCTGGGAACCAATGGAGAAGCTCTGCTCCTGGCAACGTCCCTGTAAACAGCTGGCAGTTCTCTGTGCGAGCTGAGCATGTGGGGCCGGAACCAGAATCTTAACAAGGCTCCTTTGTTCAGAAGGGCTCCTCGGAGTCCGTGGCCAGGCCCCCTTTTCTGCCTTTGGGAGGAGCCCTCTGCCTGGGCAGTTTGCACTGTTGGAAGTGAGTACTTTTTAAAAAGGCCCATCAGTGCCAGACCTAGAGGGTGTGGTAGGGTGGGAGGGATACTTTATTTTACCACTGGCATTGTTTAGGGTTGTGTGCATGTGGTGGTAATAAAAAGCAGACCAACTATTAGTGGGGTTTATTACTGTTTTTAAATGCACGACAGACCCTGCCGCCCCCTTGCTGCCACTACCTGGGCTGACCGCTCCTCTCTCAGCCTTGAGTGAGCCACTGAGACCAGCAGAGGCGGGGCAGGTGTGGGGTAGGGACGTGGAAAGCACGGGGCTAGTTGTGCAGACACCAGGTTCACAGCTTCGTTATGCAGTGTCCACAGACGGCAGAGAGAAACTCCGTCTCCACTAGCACATGAGCCAAGAACTTAGACAGTTCTCTGAGGAGGAGGTCCATGTAATAAACAGCATCTGGGAAAATATTTAGCTTCGTGCATGATTCAAAAGTAAATAACATATAATGCTTTACTGACTAGATTAACCAAACAAAATGTTTAATGCCAATACATAGTGCCAAGGGTGTGTGCACTGAGTCTGGCACATTTGTGTGCTGCTAATGGTGTTGTACACTGATCGTTCCCATGTGGGTAGCAGTTTGGCAATATGTCTCTCGAACCAGTAAAATATTCTTCCCCTTTGATTTAGTAATCCTATTTCCTGGAATGTATCCTTAGAAAATAACCCGAAATATGGGGAAAGCCATATGGACAAGGACGCTTAGAGTTGTCATTCAGAGCAACAGAAACTCTCAAGTAACTGGGCAGCCAACACTGGATGCATGGATTGACATGGTTGTGATATGTCGAGGTGGTAGAGTACCATGAAGCTGTTTATAAAAATGACGGCTATGAAAAATATATAGCAACTTGAACAAGCATTGTCTGAGGAGACCAAGGGCTCTTTTTACCACCAACCACATGCTGCCATGGTTTGGGATAAATTCTGGGGCATCACTGCAAAATCTGAGGGACCTAACTGTTTGGAGACCCAGGAGATAATGGTGCCATTAAGCAGAGACAATTACCACCCAGGCAGGTTCCTAGGTATTAATGGAGGCCTGAGAGTTTATAGCTTCAGGCACAGTTGAGAGCCATTAACCTCAGCTGATCATCAATTTGTGTAAAAGGCAAGACATTTTATTCCCAAGTTTTCCAGGTTAGGAGCTCCTTTAAAAATAAATTTTGGTGGAAGAAGAAAGGTAGCTGTGTGTGTGTGACATTTGTTCTGTACCCCATTTATAGTCACACCCCCAATGCCACACAGTTTCGGTTTTACTGTTGGCGGTTTGAGCTGTTCAGAAGGTCCACACTGTGGCATCCTTTGTCATTTTGCGGAAGCAGGAGCTTGAATGTGAGGGTTTCACCACAAGTGTGTGGAAGCAGATCCTGTAGCTGAGTGAGCACCTGCCTCTTGGCTTGCCAGCCAGGTACTGGGAACGTTGTGTCCTGTAACTCCCCCAGAGATGCTGGAGGCCATGAGCTGATCCTGGGAGAGGTCAAGAGACCTGCTCAAGGTCATTCGGGGAGTCGCCGGTGGAGCCGGGATCTGAGACTGACTCAAAGCCTCTGAGTCAGTTTCCTTGACTGAAAATAGAGATGATAATCTCTGCTGACCTCACGGTCACTCTGAGCGATGACTGAGAATCGGGTCAATACAGTAAACAGCGCACACACATGCCACCAATACAATGTCAGTTAGTTTTTCAGCATAGAAAGACTCTGTGCCTAATTAGTATCCATTGAATTAAATTGAAAACCAGGAAGCTGAGGAATTAGCCTTAAGGGAGACAAAATGAGATTGTTGTGAACAGTGAGATAGTAAACATGGTTTTTTAAAATTGATTTCAGGGAAGATAGGATGCACCCCTGCGGGTGCTGATAGAGGGCCATCAGGGGAAACAGCTCTCCATTGATTTTAACTCTGTTGGCCTTTCTTTTTCAGGAAACGTGCTGAAAAGTCCGTTTCTGCTCCTGTAAAGCCCAATCTCATTCTCCAACCGTGTATTGTGATCATGTGGCTTCTTTATGTGGTGACTGAATTCTCAGATTCCCCAGGGTCTGTGTTGGGTGGTGCCCAGAGGCTCAGCCCCATGGTGTTTTCAATGCAGCCAGGAAAGAGAGGAGGTGCCTGAGGCGGCAACCTCTGCCCTCTGCCCCCGTTTCAGCCCTGCCCCTGACCCCCTCAAGCTCCGTCCCCAAGAGAAAGTACAGACAGACCACTCACTCACTCGTGCACTTGGGGTTGTTTTTCACACGGGTGGTTTTTTCATCACTGTTACTATTATGGGAAGGAAGGCAGCGCAGGCATTGTTTCATATTCACTCATCTATGTGGGTGACATTTGGGTTTTGGCTCATTGCTGCATGTCTTGTGTGCAAGGCATGGTTTTCAGTAAACAGCTCCATTACTTAGCTGTTCTTGTAACTCTGAAAACCCAGCTGAACTATAATTAAACTTTGACTCGGTGACGGGGCAGATAGGGCTGCTATGCTTTTGTTTTGTTTCCTCCCTTTGACCCATAGTTGATGCATCTAACCTAATAGAGTTTTCAGAGAAGAAGAAAATAAGTATTGGGATCAGAGCTCAAAACAAATGTTGTGTGCCTTTGTAAAAACAAGGTGTCAGCTTTTGGAAAATGAATATCAGAGACCCTACTTACTATTGTCTTAGGCTCAGTTCCAAATGCTTCTTATATCCTTTCCTCCCAAGTAAAATGATTCCTTCTCAGGGCAGAGAGTTTTCTCTTTTTTTAAAAAAATATTTTATTGATTTTTTTTTACAGAGAGGAAGGGAGAGAGATAGAGAGTTAGAAACATCGATGAGAGAGAAACATCGATCAGCTGCCTCCTGCACATCTCCCACAGGGGATGTGCCCGCCACCCAGGTACATGCCCTCAACCGGAATCGAACCTGGGACCCCCCAGTCTGCAGGCCGACGCTCTATCCACTGAGCCAAACCGGTTTTGGCCAGAGAATTTTCTTAAATTATCATTAATATACCAGGCACAGAGTAGGCGTTTTTAGTGGGGCTCGTTGACATGGTCACATGTGCGTGTATGTGTGTATGTGTGTGTGTGTGTGTGTGTGTGTGTGTGTGCTTGTGTGGTTTTTCTCACTCTCGGTGCCTGATGACTTCTCTGCATTTAACAGGTGTTTGAGATGGACATTTCTAAGCAGTTACAAGCGTATGAAGTGGAGTACCACGTGCTTCAAGAAGAACTTATCGATTCCTCTCCTCTCAGCGACAACCAAAGAATGGACAAATTGGAGAAAACCAACAGCAGCTTACGCAAACAGAACCTCGACCTCCTGGAACAACTGCAGGTAGAGCATACTCAGGAGGCAGCTTCCTGAGCCCCGGTAGTTCATTAACCCAGCAGGCTGGGCTTTCCCATGACCGCAGGGCCTTTCTGCCCAGGTCCGTTTGGAGTTGGGATCAAAGGTATCCCAGGAGTCCTGGGCCTTCCTCTGAGGCAGCAGACAGGTGATCCTTTGCGGAGGTCAGACTGCCTCCTGAGGGGCCGTTTCTGCCGTTAGCAGGAACTTGCGATCCGGACTCTGCAGAGCTCTTAGAAGTTGTGCTTTGAATAATGACAAGAGAAGCAAAGGCTTGATCTTCTATGAGCAAAATCAGCCAGGTCCACAGAGGGATGTTAAAGGAGGAAGGCGACACTGACATCTACCTCGCAAAATAAACCAGGCTCAGTGGTTGAGCATCGCCCATGCACCAAAAGGTCACTGGTTCGATTCCCGGTCAGGGCACATGCCCGGGTTGCGGGCTCGATCCCCAGTAGGGGGCGTACATCAATGTTTCTTTCTCACTGTTGTTTCTATCTCTCCCTTCTCCTTCTCCCTCTCTCTCTACAAATCAATAAAAACATATTAAAAAATAAAATTAAAAAAGTATACCAGGGCATAGGATCATGATACATATGTCCTTGGTGCAAATACCAAGCCTTGATTGACGAAGGACACAGTTCTCCACTCTGGAAGCTTCCATTTTACCATGGATGCATGTGGACGAGAACACTAGAAAGGCAAACACTGGTTGTGTGCACAGAGGGTGACAGGAAGCAAGGGCAGAGGACAGCCCAGCGGCCTGGTCTCCCCACGTCTCCCACCCACGCTTTCCCCAGGGCAGACCGCTGGCCGGCTCCGTCCTGACTCCCTTGTTTGTGTGACAAGGACAGGAAGAATACCTAAGGGCTCAGCACACACACAGCCCCTTTTCCAATCAGATGGAATAAAGGAACCACATGGTCTACTTTTTTAACATCAGAAATGGGCGGTAATGCTGTCAGCATTAAGGAATTGTTTGTGGAGTGTTTATAAAAATTTTTTTGGAGTTTCCGCAGAGAAAAATACATTTTCCTCTCCACCCCACCCCCAAGTGTGTGTTTTATGTGCTCTTGGGCTGACCTGAGAATTAGCTTTCCTTCCCGACCTGAGCCTCTATTTCTCTCCATAGGAAGTTGCCGCTTTGCAGACACAGGCTCAGCGGTGATATGAGAAAGGACAGCATCTGAGAGCCTAATAAATCAGCCGGGTCTGAAGTGCATTTCCCTCCGCAGGGATCTGTCCCCATACCCAAGGAGATATTTACTCTAGAGCAGTGGTTCTCAACCTTCCTAATGCCGCGACCCTCTAATACAGTTCCTCATGTTGTGGTGACCCCCAACCATAAAATTACTTTCGTTGCTACTTCATAACTGTAATTTTGCTACTGTTATGAATCGTAATGTAAATATCTGATATGCAGGATGTATTTTCATTATTGCAACTTGAACATAATTAAAGCATAGTGATTAATCACAGAAACAATATGTAATTATATATGTGTTTTCCGATGGTCTTAGGTGACCCCTGTGAAAGGGTCGTTTGACCCCCAAAGGGTCGTGACCCACAGGTTGAGAACCGCTGCTCTAGAGGAACAAAGAAAAATGTGTACCCTGCCCAGTCCTCACTGCCCGTCACATTCGGAAACATGGCTGCTTTTCTCCCCGTGACTGAGATGTCCTGACTCAAAGTGTGTCTGTGTGTAGTCTCTCCAGTTCAAGGGGATACAGAGCCTTATCTAGCCTGTAAGGGTCAGCAGTGTAGTCGGTCATTTCAAACGCCTTCCGAACAAACACTGGGTCCTTGACATATACCAGGCGGAAGCATTTCTCGCAGAGCTCAGACTCGCGTCTGCAGCACGGGGCTTGTTAAGAGAAGCAGGAGGCTCATTTTACTGGGCCAACGTCCGGGTGGGTTTTGTGTGTGTGTGAGATGGAAGGTGGAGAGTAAGTTTGTGTTGCTTCTGTGGTACTGTCCCTTTTAGTGAAGAGAGGATGCTGTGAAAAGCTGCTCCAAAATCCGCATTCCTCAGGAAAGGCGCCGGGCGGTCATGGTGACAACAGGCCTTCTCCTCGCAATGCTCTTTCTCTTGACCAAGAGGCTCTGTGTTTCTGGAGGGGTCACTCAAGACCGCAGCTTATGCCCCCACCACACTGACTGGGTCCTGCTGTGGGAGCGCCGTAAGACACTGTTGCTCTCAAAGAGTTGGGGTACAGACTGTGTTGTTGGTTGGTAGGTGCTTGTATGTCCTGTTTCCATGACCCTCGAGGAGTCACAGGGGGTTACTATCCTTCAGCTGGACTGTAAGTTCTGTGAGACGCTCACCTCCGTCTTTTTCTTTTTTTTAAGCAGTTTTCAGAGTCCAAGGCTAGGCGTTCAATACAATGCTTAATTTTTCAACATAAATCTTTTTTCATATTTTTTATTTTTGCCAAAGTATCAAAATTGACCCATTTTCTAGCTTTGTTCTGCCTATGTAGTTATTAGACATCCCAAAGCCCCCCTTACTCTCTTGGTTACACTTAAAAATGTTGTCTCACAGTGGGAGACCAAACCGTTACCCTGTTTTATCCAGCAGCATCCATGAGGCAATCTCATAGACGTGTGTCAGGTGGTGCCAAATAATAATGGACGGACGTTTTTCATACTAATCAACCGCAAGTCCTTGGGTGCCAGGAGCCAGGCGCAGTGGGGGGCAGCCCCCTGTGCAGGAGGAGACCTGCTTTCTCAGGGGAGAGCTTCGGTGTCACCTGGGAGCCCTGATGCTCGCGTGGCAGTCAGTGGCCCTGCAGAAAGCTCCCCGCTGAGCTGTGAGTGCCCCTGGTGTGTCGTGGGGCTTCTGAACAAGCGATCCTTCCTGGACACGCAGTGGGGCCTGACCCAGGCCTGGGCCAAGGGTAGGCCTGGGTGGATCAGAGTCCTGCAGGGAGGAACGCACCAGGCATGAGCAGCCCGGCCTGGTGGGCCCACAGCCTTAGGATCCCAGTCCTGTTCCTTCTATTTTGAGTGTCCCAGTAGCACAGCCAAAGCTAGACTTGGAGTCATGAGTTGTCTGTCCAGCACAAGTGTTATCGTGTTCAAAACACAGTTTCTCCTGTTTGAAAATGAGAAAAAAAAATAGTACCACCCCCCGAAATAGATGGGAACCTGTGGCCCCCGGCTGGATTAACCACCCCGTGACCAGAGCACAGCTGGGAGCCGAGGCCCAGGCCAGAGAGGCCGCAGGACAGCAGCGGGGTCGGTGGTTTTCTCAGGAAACCCTCAGCTTCGCTAGAGCCAGCTCACTGGCTGCCTGGAAGCCGCCCGAGTGCATGCAAGAGAGAAGCACCTGGAAGTACAAACTGACATTAATGTTGTGCTGGCCACTGAGGACGTGGACCAGGGGGACATGAGGAGACTGCTTAGCTCGCGGAGGTGGTGACAGGTCCAAGAGACCCTGCACGGGAGCCTCTTAGCAGAATGCGTGGCTATTCACAGCGCCCCACACATGTTTCAGGGTGAATGCCCATGTTCCTTGACATAGTGATATCTTGTCACTCTACGGAAAATAGAAAGAATTTCAGATTAGTGAGCTATTGCTGCTTGGGCCTTTACGTGGAATCCCTTTTGACTGTCAGTTTGAAATCAGTTTGTACTTGTATAGATGATGTCGTCTAAATAGGCCAGGATGTGCTGCAGTAATAAGTAAAGCTCCAAATCTCAGTGGTGGAGCACAGAGGTCTTTGTCCCCGAAGCGCCACCTCTTCTCCAGGAAGATGCTGTGGCCATATCTGAGCTGCCATCCCTGTAGGGTGTGGCTCGGAGCTCGGGCTCCCTCTGCATTGTAAGCCACCACCTCCATGTACAGCTCCCAAAACAGCCACAGCAGGGGAGGAGCTCTGGTGGCCCAGACTACCTGCAGAGGAGCCTGGGAGATGTAGTCTTCCTGTGTGGCCAGAAGCACTGATAGTACCCAGTGGACTCCTCTCTGCCAAAATGTGGCTCCACAGCTCCCCAAAGGCCGGGCAGGGGAGTGCACTGTGGATCCCCCTGTGTCGTCACTGGGCAATGACAGTCTCATGTTTCCTTTTACTCTCAGGTGGCAAATGGTAGGATCCAGAGCCTGGAAGCCACCGTGGAGAAGCTCCTGACCAATGAAAGCAAGCTGAAGCAGGCTGCCCTGGCCCTGGAGCTGGAGAGGTCAGCGCTGCTGCGGACGGTGGAGGAGCTCCAGCGGCGGACCGCAGAGCTGAGGGCACCCCAGCCTGACCTCGTGCAGCCCTAGCCCACGGGCGACTGAGAGCATCTCGCCAGGGCACGGCCCCAGGAGATGTGGGACACCATCCGACGCTGACCAGGCCTTAACCGAGAGAGACAGAAGATGCTGGAGGGACAGAGCGAGGCGCGGAGCATGCTTCTCAGGGAGGAAACGGGCTCGCCAGCATGCGGAGTCTTCTGAACGGAAACTTGCGGATCAGGGGGATGAGTGTCCCCGTGTTTTTATTGTTGTTTAGGTTCCAGTGGGTCCTGATGACTGTAATCAGTAGATTTAGACGGCATGGACATGAATAAATGCACTTTTATGTTCTTTTTTCAGTATTACTGTGTTTGTAAAGAGCATTCTTCATGCTGTGGAATCGCAAAAGCCCGAGGGCTCGAGATGATTCCTCTGGCAAGGATAGGGGTCCATGGCTCCCCCACGGAGGGTCGGTGTGACTGCTTCCTCAGCAGCGTTGGCAGGTGGCCCTGGTCCATGCTCGCATGGAAGGCCAAGATGACATTAGGAAAGATCAAAAGCGATTCATTTAAATGTGACATCTTGAATTTGATCACTATTCTTGGTATTTAATGAAGTTTCTTTTTAAAAAAATCATATTTTCATACATTTTTGCTTAGTCCTTACATATTGATCAAAGTTATTGTAGATGAATGTTTTATGGGAAAATCACCATTTTTAAGACTCTACGAGGGATTGCTTGAGTGCGACCTGTAGTTGTAGAGTCTGAGATATTTATTTCTTTGTGGTGTTTCATATTCATTAAAAGTTGAGTTGCGTATTTATTTTTGCAGCTGTGTGTCCCTTTGAGCCTCCACTCCTTGGGAATCTGATTCTTTGCAGAGGTAGGAGGGCACAGCAGCATTTTTTAGGGATGCCAGAGACTTGGGGACTTTCAAAAGGAGGTCAAAATTGTAAATGTATGGCAGCTGAGAGCAGTTTCCTGGAGGTAGGATGTGTGTTTTGAATATAATTCCCAACACAGTGACCCTCCCCCTACCTCAGGACGATGAGGTCCTTGTGCCTTCAACACGCAGAAAGCTGCTCACGGCTGCCCTGGCTTCACCTGGTCACTGTGCGGGGCCTGCCGTGCCTGCTCTCAGAACCCACGTGTCCTTACAAGGGGGTGGTCAGAGAGGAACTGGGTAGGCACATGCCACTTCCTTGACAGCAGAATCATTGCTGGTCTTGATGATCCTAGCCCAGAGATTGTCAGCTCTTGTCATCTCATGGCACACACAAGCTACTTACTAAAGTTCTGCAGCACACCAAAAGACGTATTTTTTGCTGATATGACAAAAAATATATATAATTTTGATTCATTCACACCAGATGGCTATTGTTGTGTTGGCTGTTTTCATTTTTCTATTTGACAATCTAAGGGAAAAGAAGTCAGTGCCTCTGACTAAATAGTCAGGTATTGCATGTTTTAGAAATGCGGCACACCGGGTGAAAATCGCTGTCCTAACCACTTCTTCTGTTCCACAGGAGTTTCTTCTCACTCTTTTAATTAAGCCTGAGGTGAAAGGAAAGATTCTTGTATTTGGAGTCATTGTCAGTCTCCCCAGACATTTCAGAGGAAGACAAGCGTGCTGCCTAAACACGTGGGCGATATCTGAGACCTTTCCTATTTCCCGTGTCAGGATAGCAGTTCTCTGCATAAACCCAGTGGCCTTTATCCCAGGTTGTTCCACCAGATATACTGGGAGTTAACATTGGAGGGCTTCTTTCCACATATTTTACTGTTTGATGTTTAATAATGTTGAAATCTGGACATCTTCTGACCATTACTCAAAAGCATTGACTCCACATTAAATAAGAAATAAGAAAGCAATAAAGTAATTTATGTGCACACTTTTATGGTGTTTGGGTTGTCTGGTTTTTTGGGGTTTTTTTTTTTTTAGAAATTTTGGATTTTTGCTTTTTAGCCCAGGAGTGAAGGAATGCCTCATGAACACCTGTGGGTCAAAGTGTGAATGTTACCTCACCATCAGTGAAATCATTTGAAGTCTTATGTTTTTAGTATTGCTACCCAAATGCTTCTTAGGTTGTAACGCCTCCATGCAGGGTGTGATAGTAGCACTAATTAGACCAGCTCCATCGCTTGTACGTGCCAGCAAGTGCTGCTATGACATCGCTGGGCAGAGGGGACTGTGGACATGAGCCTGTGGAAGCAGGTCAGACAGAGTCTTGCCTGTGACATTGCCGGGGAAAGAGAAATGCATAGAACCAATTCACATCCCTGCATGAGGATGAGCAAAGGCAAACTTTTAAGCCAAGTAAGCTTCATATTCTCCCCAAACACACTCGTGTGTGCACTTCACAGTTGTCTTCCTTTGGTACCATTTGTGCTCTCTTAGACCTAGAACGTGATGAGCCCTCAGGAAGCCCAGTATTAGAAAACATGCATGGAAATTTCTTCTATGTGGAATACTCATTTTGGGGGTTTGTGTTTGGTTTGGTTGGTGAATCAGGGGAGAAGTGTTGCTCTGAGTGCTATGGAAATCAGAATTTGTAAACAGGAATTAGACCCAACACAATCATGGGAGGAAATGAGAAGTGAATTGGCAGACAGAGGTGTGCGAATTGAGGTGTGCCAACCAGCTCCTCACCTGAGAAGCAAAATACACGTTCCATGTTGAAGTGGGCCTGGACAGGTGGCGTTCTTGGAGCTCTGTGGGAAGCTGGTGCTGCCACATGGTGACCACCAGGCGGCATTTACAGCCAGATGCCTAGTGGTGAGCCTGGGGCCACCCTAGGTCAACGCTCAAGGTTACCACTTGGGAAGAAAAGGTGAAAGTGGGCAAGAGGAGAAGGAGGACAGGCACCTCTGGGTCTGTTAGTTGCCATATTTGACTATGATGACGTTCAGAGAAAAACGGCCGTTTCTTCACTTTTGTCTTCCAGATCTCACACAAGTAACTCTGTGAGCCAATTCCAATGTACAACCATCCAGGGAAGGGAACTCTAGGAAAGGGAGTTATGACCTAACTCAGATTATGGTACAAATCACAACAGTTAATTTTGAAACCTAATTTGAATGATCGCATGCATGAGTGAGTCTTTACAGAGGCCCTTCATCTAGCTATATAAAAGGCTAATATGCTAAGTGTCCTTCCCTCTGTCTGGATAATGATGTCACATAGCAATGCCTGGCTTCCTCTCCCTAGCGACTAGCCTTCTCTGCAGCCAGGAACACGACTTGCTTTATAGTCAGATGGAAACATTTACACTGTAACCAGATGTCTGTGAAGCATTTTCCCATGCCTCATCTCATTTGGTCCACACAAACGTCCTGGAGTAGGTAGATAGGACACTCGGTGGAATCCTATTTTCTTCTTGTTAGCTGGAAAATGGAGATTTAGAAAGCTTAGAAACTACTGGGTTGGAAAAAAGCTTAGTTAAATCAGAAAGCAGGTCTAATTAAGCAACTTTATTCTATATCTATAAAAGGCTACGTTGACTCGCACATGCATGATACATATAAAGCTCTCACTGGCGGCAATTGCATGTGTGTGTTTCTATCTGTCATTGTTGATCATGAATTTGGTTGACACAGAGAAAGGGCGAATTGCAATATTCTAATTAATTTTTTTTCAATGTGCACGAATTCATGCACCAGGCCATTAGTCTAAATATATATGGCTAGGGATCCATAGAGTTCAGATCCACAGATTAATTTTGACTTTGAGAATCACTGATGATGCTACATTGGAGAATAAAGCTTCACCAGACCACTGCTGCCATCCAGGACGCCTCCTGTCCTTCATCTGCTCCCCTCTGTCAAGTGTTACAACAGCAAAATCCAGTGGGAAAACAGTGTACAGGCCACATTGTCTTAAATGGAAACTATGCTTTAAGGGTTTAGAATAACTTAGAATAGTCTTGGACTGGGAGAGCTGTGAGAAACTTCCTACTTCATACTAGACATCCATATCCCTCCTCATTTGATAGAAGAAAAAGTAAGTGAGGTGAAAAGAAGCTAAGGTCGCCTAATGGTTGGCTACAGGATCTGAGTAGATCCCCAGCCTCCTGCCAGCTTCATCGTTGACACCATCCAGTTTGAACTGCAGAGTTTTAAGAATCATTTCTGATGCCATCAAGATTCAAAGCAAAGAAAATCTATGTAATTTCTACGGGGTGACCTATATAGTAAGGAGCCAAAGTCAAGTTTCCTCCTGAAATGTGGGATCTCCAGGGGTCTTATTTTATCATGAGTGAAACCCAGGGGTTCTTCAGCCCAGCCCTACGTGTGCGCTCAGAGGCAGGGAATCCTCTGGCAACATGGTCTGAATCGATGGGTCCAGCGTTTGTTCTTGACAACGTTTGTTCTTCTGTTTTTTACCTTTAGACTTTTGAAAACCCTTGAATTGTAATGCTTTTTAAAAAAACAAACAAACCCAGAATTGCCTTAGTTTATATAAAGGGAAAGCTTCCATTATGTAAAGTTTGTTTGTTTGTTTTTGCTGCAATCTTTAGAAATGATCAGAATGATTAGGGAAATGTAAGAGTTAGGATATGGAGCAGCCACAAACAGTCATCATCTGAACCATTTGAAATTAAAACAAAAGATTAATGTTTTAGGCTTCATAGATATCTGCCTTCATTTGGGTTGTACCCTTATAAGCACAGTGTCTGAGGGTACACCACTGTGTGTGTTTATTTTAAAATTTTGTACATGACTGCATTTTATTATAAAATAGAAGTTTTAAAATAAGGTCAAGTCTTGGCCAGTGTAGCTTGGTTGGGTGGTATCCTGTGCACCAAAAGGTTGTCAGTTCAAGTCCCAGTCAGGGCACATGCCCCAGTTGTGGGATCAATCCTTAGAGAGCTTGTCAGAGGCAGCTGATCCATGTTTTGCTCTTACATCAATGTTTCTCCCTCTCCCTCTCTCTCAAAATCAATAAAAATATGTTTCAAATAAATAAAAAATGAAATGAGGTCAATATAGTTTTAAAATATCAATGATAAAAAAGTTGACAATCCCATGCTTTTAAGAACAATAAGCATTTTATTTTAAATATTGTTTTAAGATACAGTAATTTACACGCCAGTTTCCAAGTTGAGCCTCGGTTGATGGTTGGTTTTAAGGCACTCCTGTGGCTTCCAAAATCTAGTAACTCGATCTGGAGGAAGAGCACTGCTGGTCACATTAAGTCATGAAGCTCATCAATTCACTTTGATTCACCAATGATGCAAAGGTTTTTCTTGAAATCTGGCTAGAAAATTTCCATCTCTGTTGGCAGACTATTTATTGTAAACTAATCCAACCATGTTAGAGTTTTCGATTTTTAAACCAAGGATGTTAAAGCACTCAAACTTC